AGAGAAGCAAAACTTGAGACAACCGAGGTCTCAAAAGGAAATCTCCCAATCCAGGTATCAATTTTTTTAAAACTGAGAAAGCATAATCACATTCAAAAAGAATGTGAGAATTTGATTCATTGTGTGAAGAGCACAAAAAACAAAGGGGTTGGACCTCAATATTCCACTTGATAAGTTCTTCCGCCATTTTATGCCCACCATTTATAGCAATCCAAGTATAAGTAGAGTATTTAAGCGCATGATGTTTATGACACATGAATTTATACCAATCCACAGTGGACTCCTCCCGGAAATAAAAATTGGTAAAAGAAGAAAAAGTAGGCAACTTCCCATCTTTCCAACCAATATTACGATTGAAAGTTCGTTAGGGATGTTAAGCCCTTATGAACTAGTCTCAAGGCTAACCAAGAGGGGGGGTGGGGTGAATTAGTATTTTAAAAAACTTTTAATAAAAAACGCAATCACATCCAAAACCAAAATTTACCACAAAGAAAATCATAGTGTGGAAATAATAAAGGAAAGAACACACCAGATTTATAGTGGTTCGGTCAAACCTTGACCTACGTCCACTCCTCGGAGGCACCATCCGAGTATTGCACTAAATAGTATCTCTCCCTTAGACCTCACAGCTAGGCGGAGAAGCCCTTACAAAATCACTTCCACCTTCCCCGGTGCAGCGGAGTAGCCGGGCCCTTTGACACCAAAGAGATCTTCTTCTTCCCAAAACTTCCCTCAAGACGAGCCTTGAATCTGATGGTACTAAGGTGCAATCTCGCCGGAGCAGGCGTGTGGAACCCCCTCCACACTCCCTTGAAACCCCCTCCAAGGATCTTCTCTCTCTCTCAAACTCCACCCTTTCCTCTCTCCCTTTCAAGCTCTCTCTTCAAGTTTCCTCCAGAAGAATGAAGCTTCAATGGATGCCAAAGACACTCTTCATGAGAAAGCAAGAGGTCTATAAATAGATTTGCAAAACTGACATTATTGTCCAGGAGAATCGTCGGATCGTCCCGTATGATATGCATAAAAAGAGAGCTTCCGAAAACCCTAAAAACTTAATTTCAGCGCCAAACATCGTCCAGGACGATCGCAGTATCATCTCGTACGATGCGCTTAAAAAGAGGGCTTCAAAAACCCTAAAAATTCAATTTCGGCGCCCAGAATCGTCCTGGACGATCGCAGGATCGTCCAATACGATGTGCAGAATTTGACCTGATAGTCCCGGACGATATTTGGATAGTCCAGGACGATTAATACAAAAATGTACAGATCGTCCAGGATGATATTGTGGATCGTCCAGGACGATTAGAAAAAAATTATGGTATTTTGGCTTGGACGATTTAGGAAAATCAAGCATGTCGGCAAACATCGTCCTATATGATATACAAATCATCCAGGACGATCGGATTGAAAAATTTAACCATAATTAATCCCCTAATCACATGATCAATTTAGGCATGATTTGTATTGATCGTCCTGGACGATCCAAAATCGTCCAGTACAATTAGTTCAAAACTAGATCTTCTGGATTTGACTAGATCTCACTCCCTTGAGTGTGTGTGTGCATGATCACCAAGTAAGCATACACCCTTACAAGACTTAAATCAAGAAATCAAAATTACTTCAATGAATATTACAGACCCTTTTACAACATAACATTATTCAACCCAATCTTAAAGCTTTGATTCTTTGTTTGATGTTGCATGGTATTCCTGAAATGTTAGTATACACACAAACAAACATATATTGCAAATACAAGTAGACAACAGAAAGTGAGCCATAATATTTGTTATCATAAAAAACATAAACTCATAAGCTCGAGTTGCAACAATTATAATCATAGGAAATACCAATATGCCCCAAAGTCTGAGATAAAACCCATTGTTTATTGCTCGGAAAAGCCCAAAAACCCTCCACCAAAAAATCTGTGACCTTTGCATGATGTGGAACGTGATTTTCCATATTGCAGCTAGGAAGAACTGCCAGTAAGGTCCGACCACCAATCCATGGATCCCATAACATAGCAAACTTGTTATTAGAATTTACTTCAAAATGAATACTTTTGTTGAAATTTGCAATGCAACTTTCCCCATTTCTCTCCAAAGGATGGAGGCATTATGATGAACCGGGGTCCAGGGAGTACCATATTTAGTATTCAGAAAAGAGAAAAGGATAGACTTATCATTATAAAATCTGAAAAATAGCGAGCAATAATTAGCAAATTGAATGGCATGAAAATCCGGAATACCCAACCCTCCAAGCTTTTTAGGTTTACAAGTCCTCTTCCAAGCTATAAGGTGAAGTTTTTTGGCCTCCATGTCGCCAAAATATAGGAATTTAGCACATATCCTGCTCAAACTCTTAATACAAGATTTGGGTATAATTGCCCCCCAAATCCAATAAGCAATAGTATTGCAAACCGTATATTTAAGGAATTGAAGACGACCCGCTAGAGATAACAATCTAGCTTTCCAACCCACTAAGTGATTAGCAATAGATTGCATGAGAGGTTGAAAATCAGCAATACAAAGTTTCTTGGTAGAGATTGGAATGCCAAGGTAAGTCATTTTAGCAGAAGAGGAAGGAATATTAAGAGCCTCACAAACAGCCATAGGACTAAAAATGTAGTTAGAAATAATAAGCTTGCTCTTATCATGATTAACCATTAAACCAGAGACCTTAGCAAATGAGTCTAAGATGTCCAAGAGAACGTCACAGTTTTCTTTCGAGGCTTCTCCAAAGATAAGAAGGTCATCAGCGTATAAAAGATGGGAAAGTTGCATCTCCTTTGTTTTGATCCCAATAAATCTATCCTGACAAGCAGGGTTGTTAATCATACAAGTAAAAGGATCCATTGCAATACAGAACAAGTAAGGACTAAGGGGACATCCTTGTTTGAGGCCCGATGAAGAGTGAAAGTAACCTTCCAGAGCACTATCAATACAAATGGAGAAGTGTACATCCAAAATACAAGCTTTAATCCATTGTAAAAAGGTTGGGGGAAAACCTTTTTGTCTCATTTGGGCAAGAAGAAACTCTCTAGATACAGAGTCAAATGCCTTACGAATATCCAATTTGGCACACAACATTTTTCTTTTGGCCGACTTTTTGAATTCCAAAAGAAGTTCATAAGCAAGAAGAATATTATCCGTTGCAATTCGGTTTTTAATGAAACCAGCTTGGTTTTCTCCAATTATAGTAGGCATAATGTCCTTCATTCTCAAAAACAAGATTTTGGATATAATCTTATAAAAAACATTACAAAGAGCAATAGGTCTGAAATCCAAAACATTGGATGCATGAGCAGATTTAGGGATCAAAGCTATAGCGGTGGCTTTAACTTTGTTGGGAAGGTACCCCTTAGAAAAGAAGGATTTCACCGCTTTACAAACCAAAGGACCTGTGATAAGCCAGCTAGATTTATAGAACTCAAAATTAAACCCGTCTGGGCTAGGGGAGGAATTGGAGTTCCCATTGAAAATGGCTGCCTTGATTTCTTCATCAGAAACCACCACGGTTAGCAAATCTGATAAATGAGCAGGAATAACATTACCTAGAGGAATAGAGGAAATATCCCTTGAAGCAGCGGGTGGAGGAGCATTAAAAAGTTTTTCAAAATGTTGTGTAATAGAAGAAATCAAATCCTGCCTGACAAGGGGATCTTCATTAGCAAACAAAAGAGATGAGCTATGATTTCTTCTTTTCTGGATCCTCGCATGAAGAAATTTTAAATCATCTTCCCCATGAGAAAGCCATTTCAATTTAGCACGTTGAAGCAACCAATTAGTTCAGGAAGATGAGCATTCTAAAATTTGAGCATTGATACTCTTCAAATTATGATTCAATGAAGGATTTTGAGGATTTACGTTAATCATATCTAAACAGAGAGCTTGTTGGTCCTTAAGAGAAGAAAGGTTGGAGAAGAGATGATAAGAACTTGCACAATCCTTCTCTTTGATAATCTCTATGAAAATTTTCAGCTTGGTGTATAACCCATGAATGGGATTCCCATGAATTGGTTGAGCAAAGATGTTAAAAAGTTCATACCAGTAACAATCTTGTTTTGTCCAGAAATTTTTAAAAAGAAATCTATGCTTCAACTTTATAGACTGGCCTAAAGAGAGGACAATAGGCGAATGTCCGAACAAGCAAGTGCAAGAACTTCGTAGAAGGAATTAGGGTATGTCTCCAACCACTTATCATTTATCAACATTCTATCCAACTTCAAATGAATAGGCTCATTTGCTCTTTGATTAAACCAGGTGTATTTTAGACCAGTGGAAGCCAAATCCAGTAAACCCAAATAAAAAATGAGTGATTTGAAGTCCCAAAGATGAGATTGAAGGAGAGGAGAACCTCCAGACTAAATGATAAATCTTTTTTTTATATGATCAAAATTCAGATAATCATTTGAAACTTTTATTTCCTTCCATAAAAAAATTGATACTATAAATATGAAATTAATCATAGAGAAATTTATTATCAGTTAAAAAGATATGCATATACTTATAAAAAAAAGATATATAAGTAAAAGTAAGTTGAACTAAAGTATTCCTTGATACCCAATTGCATAAATATATTTTAAATTATTTTAGACATTACAAATGAAGGTTTTATATTATTTACATTGAGACTCTTTTTCAACTATCTAATAAGAAAAAAATGGTGGTATTAAATATAAAACTTGATCATAAAATGAACTAAGCGGTTCAATCAAACAGTGAACGATTCACCAATTCAAGGTTTAATCTTTGGTTCATCATGATTTTTTTGGTTCTTGTGTAAAATGTCTTTTATGTTGGATTGAACCGTTTGATGAATAAATTACCGTTAGACCGGTCAAACCAACCAATTTGATCCTATTTTTAAACCTTTAGTTCCAGGTACCTCTTGCAAAGACTTCCATTTTTGCGCTAGGTTGTTGTGGATTATCAATATGAACTTTCCAATCATCTTTTATGTTGATGAAATTTCTAACCTTTATTGTGCTGGAAGCATTGTAGATTGTTGCTTTGGTCTGCAATTTCCCGAGTTCACGAAGATCATCAATTTCAAAGCTTAATCACTGGGATGTTGAAACTCTCTTCCATGAATTTGGACATGCTCTTCATTCACTTTTCTCAAGAACGGTATTTGATGGTAGTTGTAATTGATAACTCATTATCCTTAATTTTTATTCAGCACTAATCATATGGAAATTTTTTTATAGGATTATCAGCACTTCTCGGGCACCAGAGTGGTTCTTGACTTTGCTGAGACCCCCTCAAACCTTTTTGAGTATGTTATCTTTAAACGTTGGGGATTACATTGTAATATTTGTTCAATGGAGAAAAATCTGCTCATGAGCCTGGTGGTTTTAAATTTGTTTCTTCATCTGATTCACTTTGAATGGGTGTTGTGCTGTCATATTTGAAAGGAAATGACCGGGGAGGTGCAGATTTGTGACAAATTAAAGTCACACAAGTTTGTAATCATGCAGAGAAGCGGGTGTTAGAATTTGCATCTTTAATAGCAGCGCTACATTAAACACCTCTTTAAGATTGAGATGAAATAGTTTTTGTTTATATAAAACACGTTTGTTCTCCCATCGCAATTACAAGGACTTCCTTTGGACAAGTTTTTTTTTTTCCTTCTTTCCCTTCTTTCAATATTTTTTACGGGGTATCTTTTGGTTTTTACTCTGATGCAGAGGTAGCTACTGCTCAAAAATGAGTATGTATGCAGTCCAACTAAACAGCATACTTTGCAGTGTGATATCTTTCAAATTCCCTGTTGTTATACCATCCTTTATCATTGAAGGCCTATTGTGATTAGAATGAGATAATTGACTTGTTTCATGCATGGGAATGTAGCAACTTAACTTTGTTTCCAAGTAAATGTAGTTGATAAATTTTCAGTTCAGACTATACCATGATAGCAGGAAAGCTAACTTCTTGCAGAGTTTCCTGCATCGAAGTTGGAAGTTTATTGAAATTCTTGAATTCAATATCCTTATTTGTAAGTGGGCTTTAGACACTATTTTCTTTTCCAATTTTTGATTTAGATTCATGAAATACATGTAGTATGGTCGACTAAGCTAAAATGGTTATCATTCTAACTCATAGTCATTTATGACATGATGTTGCTTAATTAAGATAATTATAATATAAGACAAAATTACTTAGTTTATATCTGTTGACCAGTAAGTTTCCCAATTGTTTCCACTTTAACTGAAGAAAAAATATTCTAAGTGATCCTATGAACTACTCGGATTTTGTATGTTCATGTTTGCATGGACTGCTGTTTATAGTCATTCTGGAAAAAAAATCATTCACAGTGCGGTGCTTGGTTAGCCTTCAACAGATTATTGACGTGAAAGGAAAGGGGCTAACTTGCTGAATTTTTCTTGCTTTTCTTTCTTCTTTTTTCACCTAAATATGTCTGTCTTTGTATTTGGAAATGACGTATTCGGCTTAACAATTTTCTCTCTCTCTCTCTAGGTACTACGCATGGGATTATCGTGTCTTAAAAACGTTTGCCAGACACTATTCAACTGGCGAAGTAATTCCGGAAAAACTGGTTGATAGTATGAATCGTGCTAGGAACATGTTTTCTGCTATGGAGCTGCAACGCCAGGTATTTCTATCTGATATATGCCTTATACCTTAATAACCAAAAAAAAAAAAGTTCTCAGTCAAATTGAACTTCATTTGCTGTGTTGGGAAACAGTTATTTTACTACTATATATGCTTGTTTGCAGATATTATACTCCTTAATTGACCTGACACTATTCGGAGAGCAGCCTGCCAGTCCAATGGATACAATTTCCATTGTTGCCGACCTGAAAAGACAATGTACCACTTGGAAACATGTTGAGGGCACACACTGGCATACTAGATTCAGTCATCTTATAAATTATGGAGCTGGTAAGTTCTGTTATACTTCATCAATTCCGATGGTCCGAGTCCATTCCAGATCATTTCTTCCTAGTATTAAACTAGACTAAGGCTTTGTTTGGGACGGCTTTCTTCCTGCTTCTTAAAACGGCGTCGCTATAAGAAGTAGGAAGAAAACCGTCCCAAACGAAACCTAAATATGTTGATATTGATCTGATTTTGTTTATAATCATTTTAGGTTACTATAGTTATCTTTATGCAAAATGCTTTGCGGCGACAATCTGGGAGAAAGTTTGCCGTGATGATCCCTTGTGTCTTTCCACTGGAACAGCCATCAGAACAAAGTTCTTACAACATGGCGGAGCGAAAGATCCATCTTACTTATTGAGGGATTTAGCTGGCCACAGCGTTCTCAGAAGCTATAATGGTGGGATTGTTCCAGATACCAGCAGCCTCTGCAAAGAAATGAACTTGTGAACCAATTGTTTGCTCGTTATTTTCCCTCCTTTCTAGATTCAGTGGCTGAAGATATTGCAGCATGAAGAGTGTTGATTCTGAAGACTCTCCAAACAATTGCTGTGGATTATGAGCTTTCTTTTTCTTGCTTGGTGGTTGGAATGTTGAAGCAACTATCTAGTATTTTGATTTGATGGATGGAATCATACTTTAAAGAACTGGTACAAATGCTTATTTAATCCATCCAAGATTTTATGAAGAGAAAATACGTTCACATATAGGTCATACCAAGGAATCACTGTTCAAAATGTGTAACTTGTTTGGTTATTTAATAACTAGATAGTCATATTTATTGTCCATATAATCTATTAAATGAATTTTTTTGGGTCAAGTGTTATTTTATTCAAGCAGTGTAATATTATCATTTAGGATGATCAAGAAATTTTATCCCTTTTTTAACTGTATAATTTTAGGCGGTTTAAATGCATTTGATTTGTTCATCATTTAGTTTATTTCAATGTGAAATTTGTGTTATTTAGAGCTTAGTTTGGGACAGCTTTCTTATCATTTTTTAAAATAATAATCATAAATTTATTTAACTATTCTTAACTTACTATTTTTAAATAATTTTAACGGTGAAAAGTTTTTTTTTTTTTAATATGAATAATTAAGTTGTTTTTCCTACAATAAATTGATAATCAATTTTATAAAATATTTCAGCCGTCACAACTAGACCCGAATAATATCAATTTGAACGTTTGAATTAAAAAAAAAGTCATTAACAAATCAAAATTCCTTTGGTGTCAAATTGGGCAAATTATTCCATCCGGTCATTGGACGCGGAAAATAGGTTCGGACATCCAATAAAAATTTGCCACATCACTTGCGCTTTTGATTTGCGCTTTGACTGTGCTTTAGTTGCACTTTGACTGTTCTTTACCTGCGTTTTTTAACTTGCACTTTGACTATGTTTTGACGTGCTTAATTTAAAATAATATTTCATTAGGATGCAATAATTTGCCGTCAAATTGAGCATTCTGTTGTCAATTGTTTGGTGGGATATGCTCAGTAGCCAATATTCATTTCAACAACAACGCGTTTTTTCATTTAAATTGGCTGAAAGTAAAGCCTTTATTTTATAAATAGTTTATCAGTCTATGAGCAACCAAATGTAATAATATAACTTATTTCTCTTTAATACCATTCCATAATAAGTACAACACTTTGGGGTTGGATGAGTTGATTTGCCATTCTCATCAGTTGGATGTAATCACAGCTGTGAGTTTGAGTTCATTTCAAAACTTTCCTCGCTATCATTAAATTAAAGCAACTAGAAATTAGTCAAGTTCAATATGATTAGGATCAACAGTTTGATATTAATATGAGCCAACTACTTTGACCAATTAGATAGACAATTTGCGTGGTTGTCTGCCACCTAGAAGCACTGAAATTAAGGGTGTCAAAATGTCTATATAAATTTTCTTTTTGTCGGGCTCTAGTAAAATTCAAAATTGATCCGCCTTCAAGTGATCTGATACAAACTCGTCCCCATAAAAAAAAATGTGTTAGAAATTCATATCTGGGCCCAACTCATTGGATTATCGGGTTGGCCCGACACGGCACATGAGCATCAAGTGTGAGCATGTGCGGACTGCGCGAATGCATAGTATGTAGCTCTGCGCTGGTGTGGGTGAGAGAAATGCGAGTGAGACAGCGCGGGTGCGTTAGTCCGGGGTGAGTCGGGCGCCTGACCAGGTTAGCTAGGGATGTGTCAAATTCATGTTAGCAGGTTGACTTGAATTTGACCCTTTTTTAAAAACGAGTTAAAAAATGGAACCCAAATTCGACCCATTTGTTAAGCGGTTTGATCTTAACCCGAATTTTTTTGATCGAGTTTGAGCTGAGTCAATAATTGACACCCCTAACTGAAGCTATGTTTTATTTGAGGCTGTCTTGCTAATCCAACAATTCTCCTTGTATAAGAAAAAAAAAAAACACTTTCGAATTAATCACCCCAATGGTTTTTTTCTATATGCAAAATTTTGAAATATATAATCAAATTTTTTTTTAAAAAAAATAGGTATTTTGCACGCAAGTTTAATCATTAATAAACAAACAGGCATGGTCCTCAACATACATGGATGGCTTCAAATTTTACTATCAAGGGAAAATTTAGAAGGGGCATAAGGCCTTTAATTAAAATTTAAATATAGATAATATATATATATATATATATAGACAATATTTAAATATTCGAAGTTGTCCAAATATTCATTTCCAAAAAATTTATCTAGAGAGCAACCACCAGAAAACTAAAATATTTAACTATCAATAAACTATTGAACTCAAACCAGACCTTCCTTACATTGACATAAGTGAACATAAAATAAAAATTGAACCTATCATCATTCTGTCTTAATCTTATCCATCATAATTCTTGTAAGAATAGCCAAACTAATAATCTGATAAGATATAATATCCATATAGATATGCAATTCTAATATAGTAATCCAAGTGTACAGTAAATGTAATACGGAATATGCAGGGTATGTATCATATATAATGTAGCATATATGAATTATGCTCACTTAAATTGCACTTTCAATTACATGTCGTATAATATCAATAGCATAGCTTTAAGACAATTTGATTTGTATATTATAGGTAAATCATACAATTATAATATGTAATCATAGCTATAGATTTCCTTTCATTTCATCATTACCCTTTATGGCCTCAGAAGATATCATGTCCAAATGTTTATGTTTAGATCTATAGCCTTTAGGCTCCTAAGGTCGTAATGTCTTTATAGCTTGTAGGCTCCATAACCAGTAGGTCACATCAAGGGCGGAGCCCCTTTGGGGGGGGGGGGGGGGGGGGGGGCCCAAAAAGGGGGGGGGTTTGGCCTCAAAAATTTTTTTTATTATATTCTTATTTAGGTGATTTTTAGTTTTTATTACAAAGATTTTTAGGCAATTGTCCCCAATATAATTAAATGCATTGTGTAGATGTGTTTTTGTTAGGAAAAGATGAACCAAATACAAAGAGAAATATTAAATCAAAATTTGTTCTGGGGGCGCTACCCCCGGAAACCCCCGCAGGGACGCTGCCCCTTAATCCCGCGACCTGATCGAGTAGGTCGAACCCCGCCAGAGGGCGCTACCCCCTTGGACCCCCAACATATATGCGAACAGTTACTTATAAGTTTGCCCCCCCTAAAAATTATGACTAGTTCCGCCCTTGGGTCACATAAACGATAGGGTTCATATCATGTTATAGCCAATTGGCTTTATCATATCAAGGTTGCACTGCCTCAACTGGGACTTACTGTCCATCGAGGTCAAACTATCCCCACCCCTAATACATAACATGACATTTATCAGGCATATTTAATCATTGTCGTTTGCTTTCTCTTCTTTTTTTTTTCTAAACTTTTTTAGTTGTTTTTTTCTTTCTTAAACAACTTGCCATGACTTATTTACAAGTACATATAAATATGTACATGCATGTAGATCATTATGATCGTAATATGTTTATGTACAAAAATGAATATAGTTGTATAAATCACATATCACATGTCACAGTTTAGCAGAATTTCACGTGACCTCTAAATATAACAAAATTTGTATGCATCACATTATCAAGCTTAGGCTAATTACAAATATGTGTAAGACAGAAATCACACATAACTAATTAAAAATGCATGTATACAAACTATTTACAATAAGACTTGCCTACTATATTATTGAATTACATATCTTACCTTGTCATTGTGTGAACTTACCCAGTGTATGCCATCGGGTATGCATCACCTATATTAGCCCAAATTTTTTAATTTTCTACAAATTTCAACCGACGCCAAAAGAAAAAAAGACATTAAAGCTATTCCAAAAATAGCATATCTCACATTTTCCTCTCTTTAAACACCGCTAATATTATCAAAACTTACCTCATTGTATACTTTGGGATTCCTAAATAATTATTCATTAAATTTACATCAAAACTTCACGCAAAATAATTATTTACTCTATGCAAGTCTTATACACAAAAATACCGTTTCTTCTCCCATTCTTTCAAAGCTTTCCTTCTTCCTTATCTTCTTCTTTCTTTTTCTCCTTCTTCTCCTTCCCTCCAATCCTACCAATGCTTGTTGTGTAAAGTCCTTGAGTGGAAATTAAATATAACCATACTACAATAACTTTTATAGGTAAATAGTAATAATGAATAAAATTAAAAAAAAAATAACTCAAATCATAACTAATTCCTTAACTTTCAATTCCTCACCAATTGACATATGCTTCTATATATTAAATTTTTTTAATTAACGAGTAGAATACAATTACATATTTTTTTTTATATTTTTTTTTATAAAAATTGGTTTTTTAGTATTTTAAATTGATCCACATGTGACATGCAACTGATCAAATTCGGATTTTATAATTCTTTCCTATTTATTAGAATTTCATCCCCAAAATTTATCAAACAACTGAGGGAAATTTTACCTCATATTTGCTTCTCTCTCCAAAGTAGATTTCTTCATTGATCTACACTTCTATTTTACCTTTACATATGAAATTGTCTTTATCCTAAATTCATGAACATCAAACTCTAAGTTCTTCACATGATCCTTTGAACATGTAAGATCACATTGCACCTCCACGTCTTCTTGTGGAATCCTTTGATGTTCATCTATCATTCATTTTTGACCATATAAATGTATACTAGTATAATTGCACGTGTATTAAACGCGCATTAAAAATTTTTAAAATTTAAATAAAATTATAAAATGTTAAATATTATTTAATTAATTAAAATACTTTTATAAAGAGATCAAATAAATACATTTATCAGTATAAGTAATTATAATAATAATTATATTCTCAATCTAGGATAAATGCATTTAAGGCTTTAATAAAACGGCAATAACAAAATAGTAGATATATGAAAATTTAGTAATATATGACATTAAATTTATCATAATTGAAAAAAAAATTGAGCAAGAGTTTTATAGAGAATAAAAGTACATAATAACTTAATTATTATGTAGTTAAATCATTTTTTTTTAATATATTGCACACAAAATCTAAATTGGATGCCATTTGTACTATAAGATATATATATATATATATATATCTTGAATTGAGAAATTTCTTATATCTAATGAAGTTCGACATGATTGTGTTGTATTACTTAAATATTTATATAATCAAAATTTAGATTTAAGTGAAATGTAAATTTATTATTTGTGTATATCATTTCAATAGTTCAAGTGATTTTACAATTTTCCTTATTTTAACGCAAAGAAAGATTGTGGGGGAGAGGCGATGACGTATGAGATTGATGTTCGGACGTTCGGCTCGCTAGATTTACAGAATTTAAGCAGTGACGACGTGCAAAGATCGATATGGAGCAGGTACGCTATACTCTTTTTTTGTTTTAGGCATACATGTCAACATGTTTGGTCAACCCAACACTGCAACAGAGCGAACTAAGCATCATTGAGGTGTTAATTCATCATTATAACGCCACACTGCCACTTTGTCAAGCATCACAATGCCTAAGTTGGTTTATATAAAAAAACATGAATAGATTTTTTGTGTTTTCTTTTAGGAGAGACAGAGATAGTGAAGCTATGCTTAGTGGAGTGGCTGGTATCCTTACAGAGAAAACAAATACTTCTTAAGAGTGGAAGAGAATGTGGAGAGCAAAGATGTAAGGATAAAATCACAAGATTTCTTGAAAGATGGGCATATTGAATTAAAGGAAGCATTCAAGGAGTAAGAGACACTTGCATTAGAATTGTGATTTATTTTCTTGCATATTTACTTTCCTACAAATTTGGGTTGTGCATTGTTATCATTGTTATACTATATTATTATGATTATTTTGAGATTCAGTCTTTGTTTGGGAAAGAAATAAAAATCAGAAAATAAAAAGAATAAAAAATATTTGTTTTTCTACCAAAGAAAAAAAAATTAAAAGAAAAAATTAATTTTTGTTTCATTATTCAATTTTGATTTTGATTTTTAAGTTTAGAAAGTTAGTTTAAATTTTCAAAAAGGATTTTTGAAAAAAAATTTTAAAACACCAATTAAATCTCTCTTGATATATCATTCAATAGTTCAAGTGGTTTCTCAACTTTTCCTTGAACTTTCTTCAACTTCTTTCAGCCAATAAGGAGGTGACACATATTTAGGATAGTGTATAGCATTGTATGAGTATTTTGTATAGTGTTGCACATTTTTACTTTTTTTTAGGTACCCTTTCATATAGTCCTAAAAATCCTACAAATAAAAGAAGAGGAGGAATAACTTGAAGTCTTTTTCTGATATTTTTTATTTAGTGATATTCTACTAGTTTTAAGACTCATAATTTCTCGAGTATTCAACATTTTTCTTCTCTCTCTCTCTCTCTCTCTCTCTCTCTCTCTCTCCCTCTATCCCCTTAGAGGTTCTTGGGTCACTTGCCCACTTTCCTATTCTTGGATCTTTTACGGAGAAATTTAAATCTAACACAATTAATGATGTTTTTAGCACTTACGAGTCTCTCATATATCCAATAATCTTTTCCTCCTTCAACATCTATATTAATAATCTATTCAAACATCTAACCAATCTCATTTTATAAATTCCAATATAAAATTCCTTGACATAAACTTTAAATTCAAAAACTATTATTCATTATTTTAATTGAGAGTTTGTTTGAGAGATAATCTCTCTTAATATGTAATAAACATAGGGGATTCCCCTAAGAGGAAGCAATATCTAAGATCAAATGTAAATGATAAAATTAATTTTTCATATATATATATAATATTGATTGAAGATAATGTAATTGGGACTTTGAGATTTGTTCATTTTCGACCATAATGTGAAAAAAAAATCTAGAGACTGGGTTCAGCCAACGCGTAGGGGTAGCTCTGTAAATATCGGGAAGAATCAGCGGTATTACGGTATCTTCATAGATGTTTCTCCGCCGTTGACCTTCAATCCGTCCCGCTCGCCAAAGGAGACTCGGTTCTTCGTCCAAAATTTTTTAGATATATCTACCCTTTTGTTCAGATTTGAAATCGGCGTATAAATCAGTTCCCACTCTCCTCTGTCTCCTTGCATTGCTTCCATCGCTGCGACTTTGTGGAGCTAGGCAAGGTGAGGCTTACGAATTTCTTTTCCTCTTCGAAACTCTCTAATCTGCAGAATAGGTTTTGAAATTTCGAAATAGAAGAAAAACTATGATGAAATTTGACTGCTTCTAGTGGATTCTCGTTCCAATATTATTGTTCCAATATTTCTTTAACCGGATTCGCGGTTTTGAGGGATTAATGACTTTTAATTGTTGTAGGTAGATCTGAGAGGCAGGGGTGGAGCTTATTTAGCTGATACATTGAGAAAGCCGAGGTCTTTCATTTCGGTTTAGAATCTGATGGCGTCTAGTGCGATGCTGGTAACGACGGCAGCTTTGGATTGGGTTTCGGCGGCGTTCGATGCTCCTCTTGCGAGGGCAGTTGTTTTTGGGATACATATTGATGGTAGGTTTTCCTATTTTTGTATTCTGATTGGACGTCATGGGTTTTGCGATTTGAAGCTGCCATGTCATGGATCTGTTTATTCACTTAATTTTGCTTTTGGTTTGTTTCAAAGGGTCAAAACCAAAACTGATGTTGGCTGAATTATTTTATTTGCTGTAAAACTAGGTTTCGTAAAGCCAAGCTGAAATTTAGAAAGTGATTTTGGAATAGTTTGTTTATTCTGCTTCTTGTGTATTGAAGATGCCTTATTGGTTTTATTTTTTTGGTTGAAGGTCACCTGGTTGTTGAAATGCTTCTGATAGCTGTCATCTTATTCCAACTTTCTCGGAAAAGCTACAAGCATCCAAAGAAGCCGCTGACAGAGAAGGTGAATTATGCTCTTAACTATTTGAACTTAGTTTTGCTTCTCTTGTAAGCGATCCTGGTTTTGAATATCTTCTATTTCTATAACAATTATATTGAATGGGATAACGACCCCTAAGACCTCTGCTGTGTTTCTACTGACATACTACTCAAAGTTTTGTTAAGATGATTCTGATATATTGAATGCTTATTAGATTTTTTAAGTGAATTTAGGAAATAGATGATCTTTGTGAAGAGTGGGTTCCTGAGCCTTTGTGTCCACCAATTTCAGAAGAGAAGCAATTTCATACTCCTACTTTGGAAAGGTAAGAATTTTTAATCCTGTCTCTTAAGGTGCGATACCTTCCTTTTGTTATTGCTTTTAAGTTCAGTTTATGCCTAACTTGATTGGTTACTAGTAGCACCTGCTTTGAAAGCTTTACAATTAGCATTCCGTCTTTGTTGATTGTAATAAATTATGTTGCACTGTAGTTTCTTTCATTAATACCAAGTCTTAAAATCATCATTTCTGCTATTAGCTCATCATAAAACAAGCATTTGCCTACTTCTGTGTGTTTCCTGAACCCTGAGGTTAATTAAGCATGCAAAATATTTTGCATGCTTGCATTTTTGAAAACCAAGAATTTCATTTCTATCTTACTGCTTTGAATGCCATAGTTGCACAGTTAAATCTATGATACATGATTTATCTATTTCAGTTCAACGTTGGAAATTCATGCTTGTCATTACTCACAAAGACTACTTTGTAATTTATTACGATGTAGTTAGGATTATTAACAAACTATTCAACTGCTAATGCTAATGACTTGTTCTGTTAACACAGTGCTGCTGCACCCCACACAATAGTGAATGGAAAAGAAGTTGTGAACTTTGCATCTGCAAATTATCTTGGATTGATAGGACATGAAAAAATAATTGTAAGAATAAGTGTTACACATCTTTTTTTTCATTAGTTTGTTTAGACAATAATTGTTTTTTAATGTTAATTCTTAGTATATTGTTCAGTCTTAGTATATGCATCTGAATGAAATGATAATACACGTTTTCTTCAGAATTCATGCATTGGCTCACTGGAGAAATATGGTGTTGGTTCATGTGGCCCTCGTGCTTTTTATGGGACAATTGGTAAGCTTTTTGCACTCTTTCAGAATTTCAAATTAACTACTTATTACTATTTCTGTTTTCATATATGTAAATGTAGATAAGTTTTGTAAAGATCATAAAACTTTAGTAATAAGCTATTTCTTCTACAGATGTCCATCTTGATTGTGAGAAAAAAATTGCAAATTTCCTTGGAACTCCAGACTCAATTATTTACTCTTATGGAATATCAACTATTTTCAGTGTTATACCAGCCTTTTGTAAGAAGGGAGACATCATTGTGGCGTAAGTTTACCTAGCCTTTTACATAATCTACGTGTTTGTGTTATGACGTTTCTAAATGGTTTTGCTGAAAACTAAACTTTTCTGATGAATGCTTGCAAAATCAACAATATTTCCTTTATGTTTGCACAACCCGCATCTCCCTCGATCCTCCCCTTGTTTAGCCTTTTTCTCTCGTAGTGGTCAATATGTTTCAAAAAGAGTTATTACACCCATATGTGTAGATTTCTTTTCTGTCCCATGTAGAGGATAATTTTGTTATTTCTTAACATAAACTTCGAATTATTTGATTATAATACTTTTGATCTGCTTTTGCAGCCTATATTAAGCTCTGTCATTTTCTTGTTCATTGCAGTGATGAGGGTGTCCATTGGGGAGTCCAAAATGGACTCTATCTATCAAGAAGCACTGTAGTTTATTTTAAACATAATGATATGGCATCACTAGAAAGCACTTTAGAGAAACTAACTCGTGGAAATAAGCGTGCTGAAAAGTTACGGCGCTATATTGTAGTAGAAGCTGTATACCAGGTATGTTAGGCATTCCATTTATTATCAAATTGATGTACTTGGATCCCTTTTTCTTTTTTTTTTTTTTAAGCTAAGGCCACAAATTTCTTCTCTTAGTTTATTTAGTGTTACTACATTGAAGCATGACTTAGGCTAGGTATAGATAGAAAATAAATTACAAAACATGAAATTGCTGCTTACAATGATCTATACTGTTGAAAGTTCTCAAAAAAGATGAACTCTTGATTCATTTTCATAATGAACCTTATCATCTAGAATCTAAAAAACATAACAGAAATGTTAGACATTTGTTATCCAAACAAAGTCTGATTATTTGTTTTCAGTGTTAGAGGATGTTGTATTCTGATTCTCAAAAAAATAAGAAGGCTATCAACTTTTTATAGAGCAGGCTATGAAATAATGGATGTTTAACTTTACTGTGATATTGAAATCAACATTAGAGTATATTATGGAGAACAAGAACTTTATCATGTTATCATTTCTGGCTTATATTGCAGCGTGCCTTTACACCATTGTTGACATATTTCAGACCATCACTGTATGCACCAATACATTTGTTGCTATGACTTGTTACCAAATACTTCGCTATTGATGTACGGTCCATTTCATGTAGGTGAAATGAAAGTATCTTTCTTTTCTTTTCCATTTTGGTTTCCTTTCTGTCAAGGAACTTGCATCATCTTGACATTTTGGTTTCCTTTCTATTAACTATCATCGTAGCGGAAAATAAGGTCTCCAGCATGTATATCCCATACTTTCTTTGTACATTTGTCTACGTTTTCTGTCTATTAGAATGAATCAGCTGCTTGAGTTGAGAAATGATTTGGAATGCTATTTTTTTATGCATTGTTGGACTTACTTGCCTCACCGACATCTAATACCTCAATTTTTTTACCGTTGAAATTAGCGAAGTTGTTGATTTAGGCTTCGTTTGAGATGACTTTTTACAGCTTCTTAAAGCAGTTTTCTAGTACAAAAATTTTAAATTTTATCCTAAAAGTTGTTTTAAGAAGTAGTACGAAAGCCATCTCAAACAGAGCCTTAATTAATTTATAGGTGCAATATAACCATGCATTTATTTATCTTTTGAAACGTTAAACTAATTCTGCTCTTTGTATTTTAGGCTGTTTGCAATTATCTGAGCTGACTTGTGCTCCAAATAAATAAACTTAATATTCTTTTTCTGATAATAAAGTTTTTTAATGGATTTTAATTGAAATTTTATTTTCAAATAATTGCAGAATTCTGGCCAAGTAGCTCCATTGGATGAAATCATAAGACTGAAAGAGAAATACCGTTTCCGTGTTATCTTAGATGAAAACCACTCATTTGGTGTTCTAGGGAATTCTGGCCGTGGTCTAGCCGAATATTATGGGGTCCCGGTAGGCATACATTTCTACTTATTCTTACCGCATTTAATCCATTTCCATATGTTCATGAAAAGAGATCTGATGCAGATCGAGAAAATTGATATCATAACTGCTGGAATGGGAAATTCACTAGCGACTGATGGAGGATTTTGCACCGGGAGTGTCAGAGTTGTTGATCACCAAGTAAGAATTGAGCTACTGATTTTAGGCTAATTACTTGAACTTAGTGATAATATGTAATCATTCACCTTATACTACTCTTTTTACATATTTAACACCCGAAACTTTAATATTACATGCATACCACTCATAGTTCATTTTCATATTAAATATGAGTGGTAGAAATAAAATTTATGAGTGATAGGAAAGAAATATATAAGTGATATATTTGATATTAAAATAATATAAGGTGGTATGTATGTAATATTAAAGTTTTGAGTGTTAGATATGTAAATAGGATATTATAAAGTCTTATGTATGTAAATTTCCCTTTATTGTATTTGTTTTCTGATGATTGAGTGGACTATTCTCGTGTAGCGTCTCAGCAGCTCAGGATATGTCTTCTCAGCATCGTTGCCTCCCTACCTCGCAACTGCTGCGATTTCTGCAGTTGATTACTTGGAAGAAAACCCATCTATTCTTGCAACGCTGAAGAATAATATTGCTTTGCTACGAAAAGGTATGTTTCAATATATATCAATATTCTCTCATGTGTTTGTCAGTTTATATTTTTCACGTGTATTATTCACAACATTGTATGATAGGATCATTCGATATAGGATCATTCGATATTTTTAAAAAAATTCCTTTGTCTTTACTAAGAAAATAGCGTAAAAAATCCAAGATTCCTTTTGGATTGTAAAATAGAAACATCTGGCATCTATACTAAACTGTTCAAGGAATCATCTAAATTTCCAACATCTTAGCATTAATTATACTAAAAAAAAAGCATTAATTATACTAATGCTATTTTAGTTTTTATTTTATTATATTATATTTAAATGAGAATTTGACTCTTAATAGAATATAATGGAGAAAAATGGATAAAGGCTTGTTGTTGTTGACTAATTAAAAGATAAAGAAAATACTCATGCATTTTCTTGTCCCACTTGGTTTACATTGTGATTCAGATAATAAGTGATGGTATATATTAGATTTGTCAGCCTCTTATACTTTGTTCACATGTCACTATCATCAGGTATGCAATTCTTCTTTTAAATAATATTTTCACATGATATAGATCCACTCAATGCTTGTAATAAAACTTGTAATAAAACTATAGTTTGTTAATGCATTGGGTTTTAATAGAGATTGCTTCCGTTATAATCTTATAATGTTCGAACTTGCTAAGACAATCAAGCAGTTTCATTGTCTGGCGCTATGTACATATATTTTCTTAGTGAAAAAGAAAAGAAAAGAAGATTAATGCCTTTAAATTTTTAGAATGGATTCTTTGGCATTTTTCTTACAAATGCGACTTAGTATTTGCGAAGATTGGAGTTAGAAAGTTTTGAAGCTGAACATCCTATATCAATAGCTAGTAGGTTTTCAATTCTTTGTTTTACTCAACTGCCAGATAAATTTTGCGTCGTCATAGAATTCGAAGTTTAGAACGGAAAACTTTGTTTAGTGTATAATTCTTTCGTTTAAACTGTCTTTGAATTTTTCACTTGGATCAAAAGAGCATCCTGATATGCTTTATTAGTATTTCTTGTATTCATTTCAATTCTTCAGCATCTATACCTCTCAGTGAAGCCAAATTAGCTACTGTTTTTATTATAATATTAATATCTTGAGTATTAACGTACTATCATTTCAGGCTTTATATTATTCTAATTGCCACCTTGAATCAAATGCAGGTTTATCTGATGTAGCAGGACTTGAAGTTTCAAGCAGTCCTCAGTCACCCATAGTCTTTCTTAAACTGAAGAAATCTAGAGGATCCCAAGACAAGGATTTGCAAGTTCTTGAGAAAATAGTTAGCAGGGTGAGTACAAAATTACTCTTTCGACTCATTTGGTTGCTTCAAGTTAGAAATGATGTCAGTGAGTAATATGTTGCATTCCTTCATTTGATTGGATTGGGTGTGGTTAGAAATCAAATTTGATTTTAAACTCTGAAAATTCCCTCACAATCTCTGAAAACTTCTTGAATTTATGCAGGCACTCCATGAAGATTCAGTTTTCCTGGTGACATCAAAGAGGTCCACTCTTGACAAATGTCGACTTCCAGTCGGAATCCGCATATTTGTTTCAGCAGGCCATTCTGAATCTGATATTTTGAAAGCTGTTGATTCCCTTAAGAGAGTAGCAGCATTGGAGCTAGAGTAGAAAGCATTTGAAGTTTCTTCCATTTTTAAGCTTTGTTTGGGTGAATTTCTTACTGTTTTATGAAGCAACTTTTTAGTACAAAATTTTTAATTTTTGAACTAAAAAATTACTTTAAGAAGCAAGAAGAAAGCCGCCTCAAACAAAGCCTTAGTCGATCTTAGCTGTTTGATCCACGCTACAAACATTAATAATCATGTATTTCTTTTTTGGCTTTAGTTTGAAAATAGGCATTATTTCTTCCATGCAAGCTCTTGTGTTCAAACTTTTCCATTAGCTGGGATATGCTGCAAACTTGTTAGTGATTTGTATTGTAGAAATGTTGTATCTCTGTTTCAGGTGTACACTATAAGTAGAATCAACTGTTAATTTTCTTACTTTCTATTCTCCTAACAAAACTCAATTAGTATTTGTTGGTGAAATTTAAAATAATGCTGGCTGTTTATCATTTGAATCTGCATTGAGCTTAGAGTCATGCATCAAGATATGTGCGGCATCAATCATCATGATTGTATCACAATGTTATAATTTAGTATCTATACATAGTATCTTCTAGATTAGAGTTCTTATGATGGAGGTTCGAATCATTTGCAGAAATTCGTGCATTGATAGAGCTGAATTTGAAAGCTAGTTTCAACCTGAATCGAGAAGATCTATCATATTAAACTGAGACAATATGGATTAAAATAAATCTTACCATCATTATGGATAATATTAAAATTTAAGTGATTTATGACACAATTAAAATGGCAAAACTATATGTCAGATGATTAGTCAATTATAAACATTAGATGAAAACTATAAAAATGTATGTAACAATAATTGATTGTGAAAAATACTATTGAAAACCTATAAAATATCTAAAATCTATAACAAATATTAAGGAGAATGTCCAAAACAAAGATAGATAAATACTCTAATAAATAAAAGTGACACTCAAAATGCAAAAGCTTAAATTAATTAAGATCCAAGTAAATAACATTACATCTAAGCCTTTGCTTGAGATGATTTTCTTAATGCATCTTAAAATAATTTTTTAATATAAAAATTTTAGTTTTTTACTAAGAAGTTTTAAGAAGCAGCAAGAAAGTCATCCTAAATGAAGTTTAAATCAACTCAAAGGCTCCATGAGATATGATCAATAAATCAATAACTGATGCACAAGACATTGAAAAAGTTAGTGTTATAAAAATACAGCCTACACAACATAGATTATCTCACAACTAACATGAATTTATTATTACAAAATTTTAATTTGCTTGTTAACTAAATCACAATTTCTCTATGGGCTTCAAAAATTCATGCCTTGGCCTTCCTAGCTTTCATGATTGTTTTAACGAACTAGGCTCCAGGGTAATTTTTCAGAAGGCATATTGGGTTTAAAACAAGAAACTACTTAGAGATTTCTCCCTCATTTTGCAAGGATTTTATGATCTAAATTCTAGTTTTCTATAGGTGTAAGCCCCTATAGTTAATTACCCCTCTTGATAATATGAGAGAACTTTCGATTAAGGCTAGTCGTCAAACAAATATGTGGTATATGACGTATAGTAGCAGCATGAATATGGTTTTTGAAAATTTGATATTTAAAATTAGAAATTTCACCACCTTGTACTTAAAGTGGATGGTGAGGGAATGATGATGAGCCCAATCAAGATCTCATAGTTCCATTGTCTCAGGCCATCATGATCCCTAGTCTACTTAGTTAGAGGAGGTAGTCGACCCAACCTTATAGAAGAATCCTTATCGTTAATTATGGGTTGCTTCGTCCAAGTGTATATTATAAACTTGGGGTGAATATTTATCTAAGGGGACAAATTTGAATTCACCTTAGCTAACATATGGCTTTGTGCCCTATTAAGCATATCCTATTGATTCATATCTCAAGGATTTAGTGCAATTGGGGAGCACATGGGCTCTGGTCGTGATCGTAATTTAGTGGTGTCATTTGACTGCAAACCACTTGGCTCAGATGGCCCCAGTCCTAATCATTTTCCTTGGGTACCATTTATTGGAGAAACCCATGTTGTGGTTCCATTTAGAGGCAAAACCACTAATTAGAGGACACATGCCTCATCCTTACGGGTACAAGATAGATTGTAGATGAATCATAGTTATAATCTTGACTAGACAAAAGCTCTTTATGAGTTGAAGTAGTTTTTGGATTTATCCACCTTGACAACTGTTGCAGATGATGGATGGGTATTTGTGTTTTAAGTGTTTGATAATTTATTTTAATTTTAAATATTTTTAACTTTTGGCATTCTTGGATTTTTATGGGCATTTGAGATATATTTTAAAATGGTTACGATTCCCTCCAGTTGAGATTCTCTATCAACATAGCCATCATAGAGAATTTCATTGATTATATCATTTTTGTTGATTGAACCTTTTCAACTCTTCCTATTTTGTGGCAGAGGACCAGGTTCAAAACTAAATTCATTTCTTAAACAAAACGACATTCTTAGACCTCATGTGTGTGTGTGTGTAATACAACTTTTGAAATGCAATTGTAGTGTCAAATGATATACTGGACTGAAACCCTATGTATATTACAAATACATGTAAGAGGTCATTTTGGAGTGTAATGAAATGTCAAAAGACCTGCTTAAATGAAGTCCTCTACATCCTACCAATTCATGCAAGAGGTCATTTTAAATTATACTTGCAATGTTGGGTGACATGCACGTATAACATATTTTATAGGTTATGACACGTGCATATGTGACATGTTATCATGAAAATGCAATACATTCATTACAAGTAAATGCATATCTCTATGCTGGATAATACGTTTAAATGAATTTCATGCATGTTGCAATGTGTGTAAGAGGGCATTTTAAAATATTTGATTGCAATGCAAATGGATGTTTTGCTGTTTTAAATATAGCTGACTGTATATTGTTTGATTGAAAAGTTTATTTTTGAAAAATATTAATTTTCTTTTGGAAAAGATCAAATTATGAGATTTTAGTTTTTAAATCGAACTCTTTATTATGAATAATATATCTCCTTGGGAAGCACTAATATCATTTCATAATATGTTCAAATTATAAAACTTTGAATTCATCCTGATTATCGTAGTTAAACATAAGAGCGAATCACATATGACCCTGGAGGGTCAAAATGAAATTTAATTGTGTGTTTGATTACATTAATCTAAATAAAAGGTCATTAATTTCATAATCAATGTTATGATAGTAATTAATATGTCTCTCCGAGGAAAGAATTTATCAATCACTATTGATAGTTTGAAAATGACGATAATGATCGTTGAATTTTGAATTTTTTCAAAGATAATTAATTAAAGGTTTTAAAAAACTTGATTTTAAAAATTTGGAATGAGTTTTTAAATCTCCTACGAGCGCATGCTCTCATAGTTAATTACATCGTAGGAAATCAGAGTTTCCTACGAATACTCTCAATTAAAATAACAGTAAAAATTTATTTAATATTTTAAAGTTCGACATCAAAGGAGGTAAGGTTGGAAATTTTAATTGGGAAAGGTTCAAAATTGAACACTTATTTTTGGATTCAAAGAAGGAAGGGTAGATGGCACTTGGAATTCTGAAGCAATTTAGAAGTGCCCAATTCTATCCTAAGTGTTGGGATTGAATTTGATTGAAGTAGATGTTTAGTTTGAATGATTAATTTTATTAGAAAGTTAGGATTCAATTCCCAGAAGTTGAGGTCTTATAGCCCGATCCATCCTCAAAACCTAAGTCTAAAGTGGGTACTAAAAATCAGTGACCCGAACATAGCTAGTGCAATGCAAAGCTGGACTTATCCAGGCCTGGATTGGGGAGCCAGCTAAACAACTAGTCGATTTTAAATAGATGAATATGGTCATTTTATGATAGTGTGGTAAGGATATTTTTTATTAAAGTTCTAGAGAGCTGGGGCCGACATCTAATGATTATCCTTAATTGGCCCCAGCTCTCTAGAACTTATGTTGGGTGAAAATGCTAAAGACAAATATAATTAAATTTTAAACTCATTTAAATATGTTTCTAATGCAATGCATGCTAGTCGATAACTCTAAATCATGTATGCTTGAAATTTAAAAATGCTTAAAAATAATTTTTTAGAAGACTGAGCTTCCCTAGGTTTGACATCTCATCCTCATAGGTCAGATTATCCGGACTCTACTCGTAGGTGGGGAAGTGTCTAAAATAAGAAGATAAGAGATGTAAAAATATGCATGCAACACTGGGGGCGATCCCCGGCTAATTCCCTAGATTTGTTATCTTTCTATGTTGCTTAACACCTAAAATTTTGAATATTTAATTATGAGTAGAAAAATTGTGCACACCCTCATGAGCCTCACGTATCCAGGCACAAAAAAAAATCGACATGCAAGATCGCAAAAAAACTAAGAAAAATAAGAAATCCTATAGGAAATTACATTAACACAATAAATATAAATGAATTAATTATTAAATATCCATAGGCAAACTGCCTTGCTTATTACAACCCAGGGTCTGCAGAAAGTAAAGTGGTCGGACATCACTGACAACAACCCAGATTCTAGTCCTAATAAATACGCAAGTGACTTTGAGTGGGATACTCTTTGTCTTCAATTCTTCAATCTTCTCTCCTTCAAGCTCTTTTTTCTCTCCAGGCTCCTTGGATCCTTCGTAGTAGGCCACTCAAATGGAAAAGAGGGCTCTTCCCTTTAAGGAGAATGCCACCCTTTCCACTTTGGGTGTAAGAAAGGTGATCCAAATTTGGACTTATAAATAGAAAAGGGGTATTCCCCTAAGGGGTATCCTTTTCTCTTTGGAATCCAACATTTGGATCTATGTATCCCGACTCTAAATGTGCAGTTTTATAACACTTAACATTTTATACAAATGACATTTCATATAAAATAAAAAATTCTAGACTCTCCTGCAGGGTTATTTTAAGCATTTAATATTGAATCATTCCAAGTAGTTATATATTGAATTTAAATAATCAAATCAACCACATTTATAATCATATCATAGAGTACATGAATTAAATAAATAATCACAACAATCATCTAATTCTAACAACCAACATGCAATGAAAGCTAGAAAAACCTGGCACACAATAGAAAAGTAAACACCGGCCTAGACTTGATAGAGGGTTAGTTGTCCTAGCAAACCATCTAAGTGTGTGTAAAAGGTCTTGTAGCTGGGGTAGATCCTAAGCTGGGTAGTTAGTTAGAGTTATCTAAAGTTTTGAATTTGTTAAGGCTTAAGGGGAGCTTTAGGTTAGAGTTCAAATATTTATATATTAAGAATTTATTTAAATATATTTTAAAGGTTAAATGATTACTACCTTTGTTTCACACCGAGGCCATGAAGTTTATTTCACCTTCCTTGGGGCTAAGCTAATATCCTCGTAGGCGTGATTACTAGTAGCAATCATGGTAGATTAAGTTGG